CGTGGTTTGCTTCCGTTTATTCTAACTATTAAAATTGGCAAAATGATTTAATAGATACGGAATTGATAGTTTTAGAGACTAAATTAAAATAATGGAAACTTTAAGAATCATTTTAAAATAGAATGTAAAGTTTGGGAACTAATTGTAATATTTACCCTAAAGTTTTCTTGTTTTTTTATATTTCTTCATTAAAATGTTTTTTTTTTTGGCTTAAATTTTACTAACACTCTCAAGATTTAGAGAAAATACAATCCACTGCCAGAGGTTCTCAAAAATTTCCAATTTGCCATTGAAGTCCTTCAAATTCATCGATGAATTCATTGGACAACCTTATTCAAAAATGTTAGATTGAAGGTTTACACATCCTTGTTACTAAGAAAAATTTTGTGTAGTTTTCGGAATCTAATACTAGCCAATAATGGATTTGTCTTTTGTTTAGAGATTGGGAGTTGAATGATTCAAGGTCCAATGTATATGTCGGGAATCCATACCCACTTAATCATTTAAGTCTTTTAGATGGTGAACTCATCAATAACCAATACTTTTTGAATGCAAGAAATAGTTTTCGATATAACATCTCTACTTCTCAATCAACAAAAATATATCATGTGTATAATTTTTTATTTCACGATGCAGAGAGGGAGAAACGTCTTCTTTAAAGAGTCCTGAAATGAGACGTAGAGAGTGAGAGACAATCATCTTTAGAGTTCTAGAATGAAAGACCTTTAGAAATTTAGGAAATAATTAGGATCGTTGAATTAATAATTATCAAAAGATCCGAGTCACAAAAAACTAAAGATAAATAAACCTAATTACTTTATTTTATATATATTTATAGAGAGAGTAAGAGAGGAGATGAGGTAGTGTTTAAAACGTCTAAGAGATAAGAGAGAGAGTTACATGAGAGATAGGAGTGTTAGAGTTAAATTCAATTATGATCATCGGATCAATATTTATGAGATTATCTGAACCGTCTTTTATATTGAGATTATATTCTCCATTTGATGCGTTTATGTTTTGTCTCAAAATGATATGAACCTCTCTTTGTCTTTTGGATTCAAATTTCGTTCTAATTTATTATATAAATATTAGTTATTGTTTATGCTTGAAAGCACAGAATAATAAAAAATGATAAATAATAAACATATTTGTGTTTATATCCAAAATTAAAATACAAACATAGAGAAGAGATAAATGAATTTTAAGCATCGATTTGTAGTGGGGGTGAGATGAGGTGGTGGACGGCAGTAGTGGTGGTAGGAGACGGTGATGGTGGTGGCGGCGGCGACGACGACGACGATAGTGGTAGTGGCGGTGGCGACGGTGGCGATAGAGGTAATAATGGGGCAATTTCAAACATTATTTTTTTTTAAAGTATTTATGATAAATAATTTCTAAAAGTATTTTAAAAAAATCACTTCAAACACACTTTTAGAGACATATTTTTCTTATTAAATTTAGGGTGTTAATATTAGTCGTTAGATTAACTTTAAAGTAAAATTTAAAACAATCTCAACCGCGAATAGCAAAAGTCATTTTGTTTATTTTTTGAGATTTGAATTGTAAGCTACTTTATTATATAGACTAATTATTGTCTATGCCTGAATGCACAGAGTAATAAAAAATAATAAATAATTAATATATTTGTATTTATATCTAAAATCAAATCACAAAAATATAGAAAAAAATAAAATAATTTAAGCAGTGGGGGTGAGAGGTGATGGGCGACAGTGGTGGTGGTGGTGGTGATAGGAGACGGTAATAGTCGTGGTAAGTGCTAATGACTGTGGTGGTGGTGGCAATGGTGGGGATGGGGTGGGGGTGGCTGTGGTTGCGAGGTAGGAGTGGCGATGGTGGTGGTGACCGTGATGGTGAGGGTGGTGGCGGGGGCGGTGACGGTGGCGGCGATGGTGGTAGAAGTACTGGTGAGACAATTTCAAACACTATTTTTTTAAAAAAATATTTATGAGAAATAATTCTAGAAGTACTTTTAAAAAGTCACTCCAGATACACTCTTAGGAGTATATTCTTTCTATTAAATTAATGGTGTTAATATTAGCCGTTAAATAACTTTAAAGTAAAATTTAAAACGATTTCAACCGCGAATAACAAAAGTCATTTTGTTTATTTTTTAAAATTTGAATTGTAAGCTACTTTATTATACAGATATAAAAGAAATATATATATTTATATAATAAAGTAGAACGAAGTTTGAATTCAAAAAAAAAAATAGGATCAGATCGTTTTAAGATAAAACCTAAACACATCCAACGGACAACGTAATCCCAACATAAGAGACAGTTCAGATCATCTCAAAATTTTTGATCTAACGGTCTACAATTAGTCCTGAATTTCTTTTTCCGTCCATGAAGAAGTCTCTTATCGTATGACTCTACACTTCTATTTTTCATACGTCTTTATCTTAAATTTGAAAAAACACAATAACAGTTCAAATTGAATTCATTTTAAATTAAAAGATCTAAATTTCATCTAAATTCATCAAACTTAATCCAATGACTCACAACATATTCCACACAAAAATAAAATCCCACCAGGGGCGGAGCCACAAAAATACAATGTAATTGTTATTTAATTCAATGTAACTATTATTTTAGTTGTAAATTTCAATGTTAGATGAAATCTATTTTCAATCAAAGAGGTGCATTGAATTATGTCATCAAATTAGATCTAAATAGCATTTTTTATTTTTTTTCAATTGACCATAGAAGTTCATAAATTCATATTTAATATAATTATGAGTAAAAATTCATTAAACATAAAAGGTTAAAAAATGATTTGCATAGAATGAACAAACAAAAAATAAAAATAAATTAATTAAAACTTCGTATGAGACTAATTATTATCATTTTACAATTAAATTTAATTATTGTTTATTATTTAAAAGAATTACAAATCAATGATATCAATAATTACTTTTTTTCTATAGACAAAATGGTAATAACAGTCTTTCATTTATTACCCTGTAACTTATTACATTATGACGCTCATTTCTATACAATAATAAAATAATCCTATAATTTAGAAAAATGAACGCGATATGTCTAAAAATTATTCGAACATGTATGTGTCTAAAAATTTAAGAATAATAATAATTACATCTAATTCGAAATTTAATTTTATATCTTGACCAAAAAAAAATTCAAAATTTAATTGGTAGGAACCCAATGGTTTATGATCATTGGATGGATAGTAGACGCTATTAAATGTAAGGACTCACTATTAAATTTAATATCATAATGTATTAGTTTCAATAACATTATTTAAAAATTAATTATTATTGAAGTAGTCATCTATCTTAATCGATATCACAATAATACAATAATAAGGTGGACACAATTAAATTATTGTAAAAATAATTGAGGGTGGGCACAAATTTTAAAAAATATATATCTAACGTAAAAAAAAAATAAATTGAGGGCTACATGTGCCCACCCTGGTCCAAGGGTGACTCTACCCCTGAATCCCACCCATTTTAATTACACCCTACATGCTACCTATTTTGTTTAACACATAGCCCGAACTCTTTCTCTTTTCCCCCATTAATCGTCTTACCTCTCTTAGTTTCTCATAAATCATTATTATCCTCCGCAGTCTCTCATCTCTATGTGCAGACTCCAACAATTGACAGACTTTCTTTAGCGATGCACGACTTAATCTAAAGACCCACTAGAGTTACCCACTCCGACCATCCTTTCTCTTCCATCCAAATTGTATTGGCAATGATCTAATATCCGAAAGTACTCTCATTGGTACCTATTATTGTTTATCTTTGATGATTTTTTTTGGTTTGATTTAGTGGTGTATGTTTTGACAATAGTTAATTATTTTTAATTTTTAATGTTCATGTGGTTTAGTTGTGGATGTATTGTCACTAACTGATTGTTGTTAAATGTTATATGTTTAAAGTGTATTGTTTGTACCTTGATTTATGTTAGTTTTGTTTAATTTCTAATTTTACGATAAAATTTTGCATAAAATTAAAAATATTTATATTAAACACACATAAAATACATAATATCTATAAGTTTAGTATTTATTTTTCAAAGTTTGACAATTTAATATTTGACCTCAATAATCGCATACACACCGTCACTACAACACAAAAATCAGTACCCAAATGAACAATGTCACTATTTTTGGACATATAAGTTATTTAGTATATCGATTTTTTTCAAAATTTTTGGTATAATATTTCATTAAAAACCATTATATATTTACTATATAATTTTGCATCCTTCTTATTACAAACTAATTCATACATAGAGTACACTGTAAGTAGATCTTCTTATCACGCATCTTAGTACCGATAGTTGATGTTTACTTCTTACTTTTTATCAATCAATGAAGTTTAAATTGTCTTATAATCCATAAATAAAATCATCAAGTTATTATTTATATCAAAAATAAATTACTACTGTATGAAAACCTATAGTTCTCAAAAAATAAAAAAAAAAAATTCAAAGTCCAAGTTAATCAGCAATTAAAAAAAATAAGTGACCAATACAAAAAAAATTAAATATCAATTGTACCAAAAAAAACTGTTTAAAACAAATCTAATCGCTATGTGTTGAAATTATTCAAACATCTTATATTTATGTATTAAAATTTTATAAGTAACATAATGCTTTAAAGTACAGGCAATAACTAGTATATATACAATGGTTTGGGATGATCGGATCATCTGACTCTACTATTGTGCCTAAGAAAATAATATAATGACTTTTTTGTTTAATAATCTAAGCAGGCTTTCTCAGTTTAGTGTTTACTAAATGCTACTTCAAGGCTGTCAACAAATTCAGTCACAGTGCGCCCACCACAACTTGCCCTGCCTTGTATATTCCCCAAATTTGCTAACATACGCAGGTGCCTTACTTCGCATCTCCCTCCCCCCCCCCCCCCTTCCTCCTCCTCCTCCTCCTCCTTCTCTCTCTCTCTCTCTCTCTCTCTCTCTCGGGTCACTCTCTCACTTCATCCCGATCATGGTGGTGTACGGAACGACCATGTTTCTTGGCTTACTGTTCTTTCTTGAAACGCAGCTTTTTCCAAAAATGGCTGCTATAGGTAATGCTTCTGTGCACTATTTTCTCAAATTCTTCTTTTTACTTAAGAAGTTTTGATTTTATTTTGTTGGTTTTTTTCGGAGTTATTCAGAATAAATCCTACATTTCAACCCCCTTTCACAGTTTATGTATCTCTCATTTGTCATTCCCTCTGTTTAACATGCATTTTGGTGACTTTTTTTTTTTTTTGATTTTCTGTGAAATTTGCAATTATTGCTTTCTGGGTTCTATGGTGGAGTCAGATTATTGGAGCTGTTATTTTGTGTAATTATTTCCGCTTTGGTTTAAATTTGATGGGCATTGTAAGAATTACTCAGATGCCTTCATTTTTTGCTGGTGGAGGTGGTGAATCTTTAGATGAATATTGTTTGGTTGAGTAGTACATTTGAAGTAGGCTATATTCTCTGTTATGCATTGTTAGAACAATAGACAGCCAAAGTGATCACCAACTTGGCAATATTAAATGAATAAGCCTAACACATATAATTTAATAATTAAACTAAATAATGTATAAAATTTGTGAAACAGTAACAACTTGGTAAACTAGTTTTGACAGTAGCAAATTATATATTGTGGATACATATAATATAACTATTGACACATGTAGTAAATTAAAACTAATAATTAAGCAAATGCAATTGAGCACAATATAAAACAATGAAAAAATAAATTAGAAAGATATAGCCTTGAGGGTCTGTGAGGTACGTTGAAACGTTGTTCTAAAGTGATTGAACCTCCCTACGTGAAAGTATTAGCGGATTGCAGCAGTTCCAAGATACAACCCAAATTCAAAAGCAAGAACTCCTCAAGGTTCATGTACACCGAAGAGCGGAGATGAATTCGACTCTAATTGAGTTGCCCAAAATTTAGTATAATCAAAATTCTTAAGAATGTAGAGAAGAACAAAGCCCTTTGTGAACAACCAATGTAAAATGAGACTAAAAGTTTCTGCCAACTTTTTCTTGTATGAAAGACCAAATGAAACAAAAGTTTTCTCAAGTTACTGGGAGGTTTTTTTTCATATATATAAATACTCAATGATTTCGTCTTTTTATAGGCAGAAGTTTTGCCCAGTGGAAAAGGTGCCGTTGCACAAAACCAGTGGTAAAGGTGCCACTGCAATGCAACGGTTTGGACTTCATGCATGTCTATATTTATGTATTCTGTATGGAGGTAGTTTTAGTTTTAGCATCATGATACTTCAGAATAGTTATTTTAGTTTTTTTTTTAGTCTGGGATTGCAATAGAAATTCAGAGTGGAAATGATAGTTCTTAACAGGGTTTAAGAGAGTGAGGTTATCTGTTTGTCTTTAGGTGAATTTAAATGATGATATTGTCTTAGATGACGTCAATATTGTTTTCCATCCTTTTTTTGTTTATTTCGAATTTATATTTCTTTCTCACATTTGGTCCCATGAAGTAGCTATAGAGACCAGAGGTTCAGAGTTGGAGCACCCAAACCTAAGTTTGAAATTATGCAGCTTTTTTCTCATTACTTCATTTGAAATAGTTTTTAAGTAACATCTTCATTGGGCCACTCAGGCTTCAAGCTTGCTCATTATTTGGGGAGACATATTGGCGAGCTGCTTGTAGATTAGGATTGCTTTAGCTTTTACCATTAAAACATCATTTTCACTAAATAGCTGCTCATAAAATATAGACTCGCTGATTTATTAGGGGAAAGCAGAGTCAGGTTTTGTCCTCATCCTCACACTGAACCACAATAAATTTACAAATATAAATTTTTGCGATGATCATATAAACCATTAACCTCATTGTCCAGTAGTATGTGCAATAGACTATGATTTGCATCATAATAATTGCAGGATAGGTTTTTGTTAACATATGATCTTCTTTATAAAATGACATTTTTTGTTCTTTTTTTCTCTGCTGCTACTGAAACTACTGACCATGTGTTACGTTGTCCTCACCATGTAGTTGTAGAAGTCGGGCCGAATTTTTCTTCATCGTTATTAGTGGAACTTCTGCATACAATTGATGAATTTTAAGTAGAATGTCTACCTTAGATCCGGTTGCTGCTTATTTTGTGCAGATTGCCCCTTAGATTTGAGTGGTTCAAACATTACACTGGCTGCCTCCATCTGCTCCAATAAAGAAGATCGAGGGAAGTGTTGCCGCTACATTAATGCCCTTATTGCAGTTTCTGTGGCTCGCTATGCAAATGCGACGAGCAACCTGGGGGTCACTTCAGATTTATCTGATATTTGTCTCCATTCTTTATCAGAAACTTTAGAACTGTATGGAGTAACACAAAATGCAACAGCTTTCTGTGGCTTTGGGACAAAAATTCCGGTTAATTATCAATGTCAGGGTCGAACAACTGTCATTCAGATGCTGCAGTCTCCAAAATTTATGGATGTTGCTGTAAACTGCACACTACCACTGTCAGGAGAAAATAACTGCAGAACGTGTTTAAACGCGGGCATTTTATATCTCCGCAATCTAGTGGGAGCAGTAGATAATATTACCTTGAGTACTTGCAGGGATGCAACTTTTGTTGCGCTTGCAAGCCAAGTTGATAATGTCTCAGCTGTTGACTTAGCTGCCTGCTTCTTTGGGGTTCAAGGGCTTGTCACTCCTCCAGGTAAGGCTAAATCATTAAATCTGGAAGATAAAAAGACCAATTTGTTGAACATTCCATCTATTAGACTGGTGTCCTCAAAATTCTTTATTTCCCTGTTTCATCTAATTTTCTTTAGAGATACTTGGTTTCACAACCTTATTTGAATTTTCATTTTACCATTTCATTGACGCTGGTATGTGAAATGTTGGCATTCTGAAATGCATAAAATGATCAGACTGATTAAAATGTTTTGGTTATTTTTAAACTGTATATAAGCCTTGTGTGACTCTCTAGTAATTACCAATTAGTTTTGAGTTAAATGCTTTAACATGACGTCAGGGCTGCACTTGGGGAGGGTTTGGGAAAGACTTAGTTTGGTTGAATTGGTAATTGATTACCCCGTTATTACCCTAGGTGCCTTTGTCATGGCTACAAATTTGTCTTCTAATTCTTTTGTTAATGTATTCGCATGCAAGGGAATATTAGAGCTTGTCCCACGTCATTATAATAACACCTTCCAAACTAGTATATGAGCCTTGTTAGCCTCTCCACTTATTGTCAATTAGTGTTAAGTTGAATGCCTTAATAGTAATCGATGGCCCCATGTGGGCAATGGAGCATTAACGTACGGAATGATCGAGTTGCATCATGACGAAATACCACCCTCTTACATTAAAGACCAATGGAAACAGGCTCCTTACCCCATTTAACAATGGACATTTAGCAAGCAAATCATTTCATGGCATTCCACCCACCATTTATGGGAGCTCTATGTAATTTTTTAATGGGCATGTGTAATGGCAAACCAAACTGTAAGAGAAATCTAAAGATTAATGAAGACCAGTAGAATATATGGGTGGTGTCAAAACCATAGTGGATTTACTCCAAATGCCTGAAAAGGCTTTTCGAATATCCATAGTGCTCAAATACACCGTTGTAGAGTACTGAACGTTTTCTAATTCATCAAGGTTTGATACAGATGATTGCTTACATGTATTCTTCTTCAACATTGCCCGTCTCTCCTGTGCCTTGACCTTTTCAAACTTCACCATTACCATGTTTTGCTGTTGTCATTATTTAGGTCAGTCTATTTCTTGGAATTCAGTTCCTCTTTCGAGGGAAAATTACTGTCAATTTCAAGTCTTTTGGTTCAGGCCACATGAGAGAGTATGGTTTGATCCCCCTTTGGGAGAGGCCTAAATCTGCTAAATTATAGATGCAGTGGGAGCCCACTCCATTATTCAGTGTTAGTTGTCTTTCTTTTGGCTGGATTTGTTGTTTCTAACGTTTCAGTCACATGGTTTCAAAGTGCCTGCATCTGGCAAATTATATGCCTATTTTCTGATATTTTTTCTAATCACTTGATATTTTTTGTTTGTCTTTCTTTTGGCTGGATTTGTTGTTTCTAACGTTTCAGTCACATGGTTTCAAAGTGCCTGTGTCACACCCCCACCCCGGATCACATAGGGTGAGCAGCGGATCGGCCACCAAGGCCTTAACCAACCATCCCTGTGCATAATTAATACAAAATACAGCGGAAGACAAATAATAAAGTGATCCTTTTCACCGACCTAATGAATACTAGAGAAATAAACTAACATCACCTACATTATTACTAAACTCATGTAAAACAATAATTAATCCATAAGGTTCACTACTCTATGCAAAAACAACATTGTTCTCAAAACAATCGAATACTTGTCTCAAAACTATAAAAAAATATTTATTCCTGAAGACCTAAAATGAAATAAATCTTCGATTCTTCTAATCTCTTGTCTATCCGAGAACTTACTCCTCCTCCTGATCCTTACCTGAAAAATGTTAAATATTTGGGTGAGCACAAAGGCCCGTGAGTAGCAACCACCTCTAATGAGGTTTGAAAATAAATACCACATTTCATATACACAGAAATAAACTTTGTTATATACGTAAATACAATAAATTGTACCCCAATCCCTTTCACATAACCATGTAAACAAAATGATCTCATGATCAGAATAACTTTATAAAAGAAAAGACATTTATAGCTCAAAACACTCACACACACATTCAGTCTCAAATACACTTGTCAAATCATGTTTGTTATCACTAGCCTGGTAACTGGCCCCATCTCTTGTCATCACTAGTCTGATGACTGGCCCCGTCTTTTGTTATCACTAGCCTGATAACTGGCCTCTATGAGTACATCCCTATACCGACTACGCCGGTATACAATCTCGTTACCATTTAGACTTAGTAACCCAGACCCCTTCTCATAAAACATGATTTTAACACACACACTAAAACTGTTGTTTTAGTCCCATCGCACACAATTTCTCTTTCATCACCAAAATCATTTAAGCAATAATATAAAATCATCTCATAAGTTTTACAAATTCACATATGTAATAATTCACAATTGCAAAAATATTTAATTACAACCCCAAACAGCAACATATATCATATATATGAAAAATTCACTCACACGCACCCACAAGTTTAATATAGAAAATCCTCCTAAAAGAAGTAATAAACTACTCACCTTGATTTCTAAAATCTAATTCAAAGCACTCTTTTCCAACCTCAATGCAATCACTACCAAATTCAAAATAACATGTAACGATCAATCCTTATTTCTAACTTCGTCATTTTGTGATTCGATATTTAATTTACGTACTTTCTATTATTTGATATATACTTAATATATCTTTTACATATAAACATCCTTTCTAATATGAGGGAATAAGATATGGAAGTATTCTGGACTGTTTAGAAAAAGTTTCTAAAATTTTGGGGTCAAATTATAATTTTTGAAACTTTTGGGGTCAAAGTGTAATTTCATTAAAAACGAATTTTCTGTCTTTGGGGCTGCCATAAATTTTCTAAAATTCTGTTCTTACAACTTACCAAATAAAAAAAAAGACTTAAAATTAAGTTAAGAAAAATAAAGGGGGTCAAAATAAAATTCTTTGAAATTAAAGGGGAGTTTTCTATAATTTTTGGATTGGTCTTCTTCTACCTACGGTCATGCAGGTTGTTTGTTCTGCCACAACAATTCCAAATCCTTTTCTTTTCTTTTCTTTTTTAACCTATTGATTAGTCAACTATAAATCTAAATTCAATCTAATAAATTTCAATAATAATAAACGATTACCATGAAACTCATTCTATATATGTGTATATATACATATTACGCAATATTATTATCATCAACCTAATATCATGTGATTGAATAAACTATAAAACCCATAAAATAAATAATAAACTCACCTTTAAAGGACTTAATCCACTTGTCTTCTTCTTCCTTCTTTCTTTTCTCTCTCTTTCCCTCTTTCACGTTATTTTTTTTCTTCTTTGTTCATAGGACAACCTCTTCCATAAGCCTTCTCACCAAAAGACCCTACAACCTAAATATATTTTTATATATATAAGGGTTTGACCTATCCAACAATACTACCTTATTTAAACTACATGTATAAGAGTCCTAATAGGTCTCTAGGTAAGACTTTTTATTAGAGATATATTATTATTATTTTTTTAAAAATTATTTTTATCCTTATATATATATATATATATTACTCCTAGGTAGTCAATGCACCAAAATAATACAATAATTTTTTTTTATGGGTAATTACAGCCTGCATCTGGCAAATTATGTGCCTATTTTCTGATATTTTTTCTAATCACTTGATATTTTTCGTATTATCTGTTTTAGATTATGCAATGTCCATGTAAAAAGTTTGTAAACAATTCTAATATTGTGTGTTCAGGTATCAAGTTATTTAACAAATTTTCTGGTGTGTTTCTTATGCTAGCTTCTGGACCATCGCCATACTTACTATCACCTGAGGCATCTCCAAGTCCATTAAATGCTTCTAGCCCAAGTCAGCTCGCCTTGACCGTACCCATTAAAGAAAATCACCACCCTTTCCATCTCACATTGATCCCAGGTGTTGGCATAGCAGTTACGGCTGTAGTTATTTTGATGCTGGTAGCCTTGATAGGTCTTATTCGTAGAAAAAGCCAAGAGCTGGAGGATTCTGGTGCTATTGATGAGACTTCCCCAAAAGCCTTTCCTCCGCCTACAAGAAAATTTCAGGAAGGTACAGTTCCAGTTTCCTTTATCGTTATGCTCTTCCTTGATTTTGGTAGATGAAGGTCTGAATTCATTTTTTCTCTTGGTTTTGGGTGGGAAAATTTGGACTACATGCAGGTCCTTCATCTATGTTTAGAAAATTCAGCTATAAGGAGATAAAGAAGGCGACAGACAATTTCGGCACCATCATCGGTCAAGGAGGGTTCGGGACAGTGTACAAAGCTGAGTTTAGTGATGTACTGATGGCAGCAGTGAAGCGGATGAACAAAGTCTCAGAGCAGGCAGAGGATGACTTCTGCCGAGAAATAGAACTTCTGGCCAGACTGCATCATCGTCATCTTGTTGCTCTACGTGGATTTTGCATTGCCAAGCATGAAAGGTTCTTCATTTACATGGCTATGTTTGCGTATGGAGAGATAACTTTGCATGCTGGCAAAATCAAAGCCTCTTGTTTGTTTCATGGCAGGTTTCTGATATATGAGTATATGGCAAATGGAAGCTTAAAGGATCATCTTCACAGTAAGCTCCTTTAAGTATTAAGTTCCTTTCTGCTGGAGTTTGATCATTAAGATGGGAAAATGGGTGGGGATTGGCTGCTACATCATGGAACTGGAATATTTGTTTGTTTTTTTTTTTTGGGGGGGAGGGGGGGAGGTGGACTTGAACCCTTGGGCTCAAGAAGGTAAAGCCTTCCCAAGATAAGGAGTATCATTGGACCAAAGGCCCATTGGTGGAACTGGAATATTTGTGTCTTGCATTTGATAATGTTAACCAGTCTGTATTGTTTAAGGTCACAAATAAATCAGTTCTTCACTCTCCCCGTCCCTCTCATCATGCTTAGGTTTGTGGACATAATAAAGTTTGGGAAAGACTCCATTTGATAAGGTTAACCAATGTGGATAGAAAATTTAAATGCAAGTTAATTTCTTATGTGGTTTCTAAAGCCCCATTACTTAATGAGCAGCTCCAGGTAGAACTCCTCTGAGTTGGCGGACCAGAATTCAAATTGCCATTGATGTGGCAAATGCTTTGGTAATCTTGATAATAATGCTAATCACTTGGACTGACTGAATTTTTTATATGATCTGTAATACTCTCTGAAGATTCTCTCTCTTCCTTATTTTTCCTACCTGCATGCAGGAGTACCTCCACTACTACTGCGATCCTCCTCTGTGTCATAGAGACATTAAATCTAGCAATATTTTGATGGATGAGAATTTCGTTGCAAAGGTAATATACTCAGCTAGATCCAACTGTATGCCTGAGATTTTGTGATTCTGAACTTTACTTTGGTAAGACCCAAAAAAAAAAAACTTTTGTGTTGTTTGGATGGCTGGAGGAGTTCTATTAAATGCCAATGGGTACTTTGTTTTTAGTGCCTTCTCTTTTTAGCCCTGTTAACACGTTTGAGTAATTCACGGGACTTTGTTATTGGAATGTCATGGTGAGAAAGATAAGGTCTTTTGCAATTGGCTCTGGTGTTATTAACAATTTTGGATAGGATAGGATGTCAGTATTTTATGGGATATGATTTCAGTATCTCAGTGCTCCATTAGATAGAAATAATACATACCCACGTTCCCCTATGAATGCGTTAGAAAAATTCATTTTGCTTACTTTCAATTTGTCTTCCAGGTTGCAGATTTTGGCCTTGCACATGCTTCAAAAGATGGTTCCATTTGCTTTGAACCAGTAAACACCGATATCAGGGGAACTCCAGGTTGTAAAAGCCTCTCTCTCTCTCTCTCAATCAATATCTCTTGATCTGAAGATAAATGCTGCACGAATTCCAGGTTATATGGATCCTGAGTATGTGGTCACTCAAGAGCTTACTGAGAAAAGTGATGTATACAGTTATGGAGTTGTACTGTTAGAGCTAGTGACTGCAAGACGAGCTATACAAGACAAGAAGAATTTGGTGGAGTGGTCCGAAATCTTCATGACATCAGAATCAAGGTTACCTGAGCTTGTGGATCCCAGTATGGGGGACGCCTTTGACTTGGATCAGCTTCAAACAGTTGTGACAATTGTGAGATGGTGTACCCAGAGAGAAGGAAGGGCAAGACCTTCGATTAAGCAGGTACTAAGGCTATTGTACGAATGTTCAGACCCAATTTATAGTGGGTTTGTTGATGCTGTAGAAAATGAAGAGTGTGAAGGAACCAATGGGAGGGGAAGGATGAGTAAAGGTAAAATGCATAGGGGTGATGGGATCTTTTACAGTGGGGATGGAAGGTGTCTAGCTTCTTCTTCAAGTACATCTAGGTCGTATTGTAGTAGAAGCTTTTTACTTGAGAGTGGCTCTCCACAATCTCCTCCTAATATACCCTCTGTCTGAGGCCAGCCATTCACCTGTTCGGCTTCTCATAACACTTGTACAAGTTTTTTTTGGCAGAGCACTTCAGCTAACCCATAGTTGCAAGTTGGTGCATCATTTTGCAGGTACCCAATGTTATTCAATTGTATTGAGTTATTGCTTTCCTTTTGTTGAGCACCTAATGATTACTAAACACATTAAGTTAAAAAAAAAGAGAGAAAGACAAGCGAGACTATGGATGCCTTTTTTTTTTCCTGTTCTTTTTTCTATTTGGGTTTGCAGTGTGCTAAAGTTTTGGAAGAATGAGTTATGTTTCTTTTTCTTTGTTGTTGCGGATTTTGGCTGTCGTCGTTGATTTTTCAAACATTATGAATCATTACTGATATCTTTTATTCGAAAATTTTAATATATCAACAGTTGTTGCAACCTATTCAAACTAAATTTGTCTTGCGATGTTGCAACCAAATATGTAGATGGTGCTGATTATGTTCTAGTCAATCAGTTTCTGTGGTTTCACAAGGTGCCTGACATTCAAAAACTATATTACTTTGGGACGACATGCAAAATGTGCGAGCAGGGTAAGTTATTTTTGTGACATTTGACACTTGGTACCATTGCATTTTCTGCTGTTTCGATTCTCATTCTCAGTATATTGAAGAACTAGTAAAGTGAAAATCCACAAGAAAGGAGATAATAGAATGGTTTTCTATATGGCTACTAGGATGCATGTCTTGCTTTTCATCAAAGTGAGGGTGACATTTATCTTGCATGCTAAGTATCATTTCCTAACAAAAGTGGAGTTATTGAATCCGCTTTTAAAAAGTGTCATAGTTTGACACAAATAAGTTCAAAAGTGTCGTATTTTGGTATATTTGTTTTTAAAGTGCAATAGTTTGGTAAATAACTCTAGGACAAATGAACAGCAGCAGCAGCTCAATTCCAAAAGGGGAAAAACAAGCAACAGATCAAAAGGCTGACAATGGGGTAGTGTGGCATTTGGCTGGCACATCGGGATAGGTGGATGGTTAATTATACACATTATTGGGATGTACTGCAGCATTGTGACTTGGTCATCATGAACTCGAGTTACGAAAATTATAGTTGTTCACTGAGCTACTCTCATTCTCGGGACGGGCAGCAAGCAATGGATACCGTTCTTCCACCCAAGCCTACAGTTGGAAGGCCAAATCCCTCCGTCTAAGTAACATTTTGTGAAACTCTTACATAAGGGCAGCAACTAGAACTTTGTCACCATGGGTATCCCATGAATCCCTTCAGTACTCATAATTGACTAGGACCACAACCTTAACGACCTTCACCGTCATGGTGAACAACGTCAAGACTGGCTTGATCACATCGAAAATTTCCTGCTAATGATTCTCCCATCTGTAGTTCATTTCCACAGAAGTAATCGCTTGATAATAGTCTTCATATGGTCCCCGTGTCTGCCATAAGCAAGTCCTGGGCGCACAGTTTACTGGTCATGAACACCATCAGGATCATTTCAATGATGAGTCTATTGGCATTATTGGTCGAAATATAAACACCAGCAGCCAATTATCAGGCTCCAGCATCCATGGAGTCTCGCAATCTTGCCTTCACGACAAGAACAATCAGTGGAAACTTTGCCACGGGGGCTGGATTAGAGCCAAACAATATTATTTGCAGCTTATAACTAACACAAGAATTCTGGAATGTTGCTTGAAATAGTCTCCATCTTTTTGGGTTACATCGCATATAGCATGTAGAAATCCTTTGCCCATAGAAAAATAGCAAAGTCTGCAATGAAAATACCTCCTGCAGATCCTGCTCTTTCCATTTCAGACAACTTAATTACTGCAGTTTGTCGATGCACTCACAAAAACAAACTTCCATGCAAACATGCTTCGGATCAAGAGAATAATCAGCACAAGGTTCTTTAATTCGATTCCTCTGGCCAAAGTGTATAAGAACCCCAGAGCCAACAAGTCTTCTGAATATATGATTTTCCTGTAGCGGTCAGCATAATCTTGATCATTTGTCCCCGCACCAATGGTTGTGATCCAAGGAGGTCCATTAAGAACAGTGAAACCATGAGGACCATCATTTCCAGCTGAACAAGCAACAAATATGCCTTTCCTTGTAGCTGCAAAAGCTCCAACTGCAAGTGGGTTTTCATCAAAATGTGTCTCCAAGACGTATGAACATACTGAGAATGACATGAAATCAACACCATCCCTCTGGACTCTGGCCTGGTCATGCCGGCGAAGGTAATATCTGTTATTGAGGAAAAGCACTATGTACATGGCAACTCAAACCTCTGGTGCAATCCGAGTTGCTGTTCCCTTTATATAACCCAAGTAATTTAAATCTTGCAATGGCATAGAGCTGCAGTCAAACTCAAAGATGTGTCCCTCATGTCCAAAGAAGTTCTCAGTTTTTTATATGCCCAAGGCTAGTTGCTTTTTGAACAAAAAATAAAAAATCCAGCTGCTATTTTCCAATGTTTGCCAGAACAAATACAACCTACAGGTACCTTTTTTTAAGTTGTTTAACTGAGCAAAGAACAATGTAAATGAAAAAAATTCCAGCAAAAACTTTATTTGCCATTTAATTGAGCATATACATTTCAAACGACAATAACTACAGAAGAATAAATAGAGGGTCTTGTATTAGCAAGTACTTCTTAAATGCAAGTTAATTTACAGAAAGGTGTCACATTGTTGGTTGATCAGTTACAGCGACTCTGGCATGAGTATTGGAACTTTCAAGATTAATCTACAAAACTATGTCAGATGCAAAACAATGACCAGACATTTTCCATGCTTTTCCTCATCATGTTGTGTGCAACTTTGGGGTCAATGGATAAAGAAAAGGACAGGAGAATGACAAGTATACCTCAATTGTTATCCTAATTAAGTTAAGCCAGAAAGCCTCAAAAAGGGGTACAGACTACAGACCAATTCTTCTAGCCACCAACAGCAGCTAAGAACTTCTTTTTGCTTACTGGTTCCTCATGCAAGACCACCACATCTCTCACCTTTTCTAACAAATCCTCCAGCTCATTCACACCAAAGCTCCGATAGTCCAATGATTTCTTGTACCGTTGTTGATATATTGCATCAAAACAACCAAGGAAAATCCGACAAGAATAGCTGACTAGAATTTCTTGAAGTTCGTATTTGAACTGTTCAAGGCTTGGATCACTAGTTTCAGATTGCACTTCCATCTCCAAATCAGTCCTTTCTCCATCCTTCCTTGCATCATGTTCTTCTACAACCACCCTTTCGTCATCTGAGAATTCATCTGAAGATCCACCCCCTGTTATAATACCAATGTGCTCTTCCCGAGTCCCCTTTCCTCTTTTATCCTTCTTTGCTAGAACTAATGGAGGAGCACTTGGTCCAACACTAGAGTTCCGGAGACAGACAAATTTCTTATTGCCTTTTCCCTCAACAGTCATGGCATCAGTCATCTTCTTGAGAAGATTCACAAGTTTGACTGCCCCGTATTCTGAAACGTAAAGAGGCCTTCCAAAAATTTTCTGGTACTCAGCATGTACACGAGTAAGGGGCAGACATCCTCCAAACAGTTCAAGCAACTTTGCCAGCTGCCCCTTCAAACCATTTATATCTCCAGGCTGTACCCACATCAAGTCATTCTGGTCACAAGAAGCAACAGGTCTGGCTGAAACTTCATTCAAACCAGAAGGGAGACTATGTGATCTCAAAGTTGTAGGAAAACAAGGCATGGATATTGAAGTACTATTGTATTCGGATAAAGACTGTGATATCATCGGGAACTCTCTAGAGTTGTAATAGCTTTGTGAGATTCCTCTATATAAAATTGCTTCTTCTTCATTTTGACCATCGGGATTGTCATTTATCTGGCATCCCATCAGAAACCCAGCAACGTCAGTTGGACCTCCACGAAGAGGAATAAAAGTCTTAGCAGGAGGCACAAAACCTTCTCCACGGGCAACACTAGGCCAGTCCCAGACAAAACTGCCTGCATTACTCAGGGCAGATGAAACACCCACCCCAGAAGGAATGACAAGAATCACAGTATATCCACGTTGGCCAAGTATGTGTAGTGCAGGTGCAAAATCAACATCCCCTGAGATCAGCATGATGGAAGAAGGCGGACGGTTATCAAGAGCAAAAAGAAACATGTCAACCAAGATTGCCTTGTCAGCAGCATCTTTCCTGCCATTTGGGACATCTATGAGTTTGACACCAGTTCTCTGGCAACCCTCTCTTAGTCGCCTGGGGAATGCATTAAAATCTCCATAGGCAGAGAATGTTGTAACAGCTCCTTTAATTACAGGATGGACCCGCAGCGTCATTCTGATGTTGCCAGCCACATCTTCTGGGCGTATATCACTTGGAACTGGGCAGTTCTCGATGTCCCAGAGAATCGCTACAGGGCCATGTGAGGAGTTTCTGCTCAGCTGCAAAGTAGGTTGAGGTGTGTTTGCACTCGAAGTTGCCATCTGTGTCCCACTTTGCTCTGAGGGTTCAGAAGACAATATCGAAGCTGAAGCAGTTCGATTTACCATCGTTGTCTCGTCAAAAGCTCAGAGGGTCCTACAGATGATCAAGAGAAGGAATAATAAGTCACCACATAACAACCTACTGCAAAGGATTTGCCAACTTTACATCCAAGTTTTACCCGAAGTGGTTTGCAAAATTCTGATCACACCAACTTTTGATAAAAACCAACTGTGATCACTATTTAGCTAAATAAGATGATAAAGACGACTCCTGCAGCAGAGATGAAGATAAATATACAATTAAGGTTGGATAATTCATAGACCCGACACCAACACGAGAAAAGTTGCTTTCATTCCTACATTCGCTCAATTTACAAATCCTCACAACCCACAAGTATACAAGAAGTTATCAAAGAAAAGTGCTTGCATGTACGTGTGTAACCTATTTCAACAAAATATTATCAGATTCATGAAGTGCTTAACCTCCTCCAAATCTTGCCGCCATAAAGTCAGGAAGGATACCAGAAAGAGGACAAGGGGTTTGAAATTCGCTAGTTCAATTGCACATAACCTTGTGAATTATATCCATACTAGCTTCCGTGGAACATGCGATGCGTGAGTAAGCAGTAAACAATTAATAAAGATGTGGGTGGAGGTTGAGTCTAAATAGAAATGCAGATTTTGTACAAGTGTCACAGATAAATTTATGATAAACATTTAAACTATAAAATAGTATCTTAAACATTAGTGGGTCCTATTGAAGTGGACACCGAACCCCTTTTCCTTCACTGATAATAACAGAATTGTAGTGTATCTTAATCCACTTTAGTGAGGTCATAAGTGGGACAACAGGTAGAGGAGATGTCTCTACAAGCAGAAAAATAAGACAGCCAAGATGAAAATTTAAGAAAGGCAGGCTTGAGATAATCAGATTCAAAACAACTGCGAAGCCATTGGTGATGACTCTGCCCACAAGTATCCTAGTAAATCCTCATGCATCTCACTAAACCATTAAACCAGTAAGCCGCACAATTGTGAGAAGTTCCACAATCCACACCAGTATCTCCCATTGACATAATAATCCTTTCCACATATCATCTTATCTTTCTAGTTTCTACATTCATGTACACCAAGGGACTTCTGAGACTGATAGTGATGACTCCAGAGCAACATCTTTCATTTTTATATACACCTATCATCACAGCTTAGTTCATAAAAATTCAACAGATAGTCAGATACATTAAGACCTTAGTGTGCTTGAAATTTACCAACAAACTTTGAACTCAAAAGTTAGGTGGAACCAATGTTACCTAGATCGTGGGGTCAATTTAGTATGTAGTACAGCTACGCGATACGGTACATCTTCCGATACCGGCACGATGGTGGTTAAGCTTAGTTGGTATGTTGTTTTGAGTTGTGGTTCATTTTCTATTCATATACACATAATTAACTAGTATTTATTTTGGTGTTTGAGTTACAAATAATTTGGAATCGAAAATTTAAGTGATCCGTTTCGGGTCGTGCGACCACGGTTCGTGACATAGTATGGGTATCAGCGATCCCGGTATCCATGGGTGGAACACATAACTCTGAATTAATGCCATCTATAATAGTATCACTAAGGGATCAGCTCCCTTACATTACTCAAAATTCTGGTAGATTTAAGGTAATTAATTGATCTACAAATATACTTTGCCCCCCTTTAATCTTTGTTTTTTGCATAATTCTCAAGAAATTGGAAAGTAAAACTGTTATCTATAGACAACTCAATGAGAAAACAGTTTCCAAAATTACATATTGCATCGCGTACAGAGATAGAAATTTTTATGGGTGTGGATAATTACAACTAGAAGGAAGTAAACAAGGGTTTATGAGCAAATATGGAAATTTAAATATTTTCTTTAAAAACAACATAACAAATAATAAGCCGAGAGATATATTCCCAATTCCAAGACCCAAGAAGACGAAGCCCCCCCCCCCTCCCCACAAACACGAAAAAAAACAAAAAAACTCCTCCGCACCGATGGAGATTACGCTTAATTCCCCAAGAAATGAATGAATGGTGAAAAAAAAGATCAAGATTCGTAGAAACTCTTAGATTATCGTTCTGTTCTTGAATCGAGAATCGCAATAACAGTAGGCGAAAAAAGATCTAATAGCCTACCAGAAAGATCTGTATTTGAAAACTCGCAAATACATAGAAATTATGTATATACCTGTCTGACGAACCTGCCCAAAGAAGAAAGCTTTTCTTTCCTTTCGACTGATAATTTAGCAGCCACAGAGAGAGAAATCAGTATAATTCACTGGTCAGGACTGCGTAAATGGGAGGGCCTTGTTGAGTGGGCCCAGCCCGAGAGTGACGTGGATGCATGGGTTGGGCTGATTATGAGTCGATTAAATTAGGTTGGGTAAAAATAAAATCAATTTATTTCTCACTCACGTATTAAATAGATTATAATGAGTTTAGTTAAACTCATTAATCCATAAAATAATTAAAATTCTTAAATACATACTAGTATATCAAAATACACATATATTATCACACTAAAATACAAACATACGCACACTAATATATTAGAATACACATTATTATACTAAAAATACACACACTAATATATTAAAACATACACACAAATGCATAAAAAATACACTAATATATCAAAAATACACACATATATATACTAACATATAAAAAATAAATAAATATTTAATAATTAATAAAAAAAGTAAAATATATATACATAATGGGTTAGGTCGACTGTGGACCATAGGTTACGAGTCAACCCATGCACATGGGTCATGGGTCGAACCATTGAGACATGGAATGACCCATGGGTTGAGCGGTAGGTCATGGTTAGGGGTGTATTAGTGTGTTTTTTGAGAGTGTGAATTTTGGTGTATTAGTGTATATGTATGTATTTTTTTAGTGTATTAGTATGTCTTTTTTGTATATTAGTATATTTATTTAATTTTATTATTTATGTTATTTAATAGAAAGATAAATACTCAACCCGATGGGTACCCATTTGTAATTCATCTTAACCGTTTATTTAAAATAAATCATATTACAAAAATCATTTAGAACCTGCATTAATTAATATAAGTACCCAACTTATTTATTTATGGACGTATTGCACAAATTAATAGATAATGAGTTAAAATTGCCACCTCTATACCATTTATCAATATTACAAATAAAATGTATCACTATGACTCATGAAATCCAAATAAATCACTATACAATAAAGTCTAGATAAATCATTGTTGTAATGGTGTTTTAGAGAATGATCCTCTGATCTTTGGGTTGTGATAGTCAAAAGTCGCCAATTCAACTGATTAAGTTTTTATTTTTTACTTTATTTGATCAACACCTAATGCGTTTTGGATAATCAATTATGCCAAAACTTATAGCTAATACTTCCAAATAAAATGTCTCTTTCCATGAAATGTTTTTTTGTTGATGTAAACTCAAATGTTATGACTTTGAATTTTGACAATCTTTTAGGGTTAGGCTATGAGGAATTTATTCCTCATGAAAATTATAATTCTGGAGTGAATTGCCTGCCTTTGATCTGATCAGAGAAGGGATTAGTCAATGTACATGTAAACTGATTCGAATATCCCTATGAGTCCATGCATGATTAGCTTCTAATTCTATATATTTTAGTGATAAATTTTTAAGTTTCAAAAGACCCCTTTATGTGTGTCCCAGAAAATCAATCTCTCATTGGAATCTCAATTGCTCCACCTCCCTTTCCAAATTAGGCACTAGGCACTTGCTGTGCATGCTTAAAACATGCATGTCCTGTTTTTGCCAAAAAAGAAAAAAAAATTGGTGGTTGTTGTTGGAAAAGATACTAGACAACGACAAGATGTGGAATCTCTTTGAAATGCCAATTCGAACAGGACACATACGAAAATGAAATGCAAATTCACCAAAGTTCATTTGAAATGAGCAATTTGAACCCAAAAAACCTTTGATATCAGAGCAAATGGAGAATGGATACTTTTCACTGCAACTCAACTATTCCAAATGCTGGTTCACAACATTGGAGAACAACAAACCAGCCTGGCCAAAATGACTGATTTTCAACTTTGTGCCCTTCCCAAATGGACGCATCAAATGCATAGACATAATTATTAATATCAAGATTCACAAAACAGGATGAACAATGAAATTATGTACCAAAAAATGTCACAACTTCCAGCAGCAGAAGAGTAAATGGGCTTTTCTACCATCACAGAACCTATTGCTACAATATTTACAAACCATTTCGAGAGAGAACTCTTGAAAAATCCAGTGATGCTAATAAAATGCTCAGAAATACTCAGATCAACCCTCAGGGAATGATTGTCCTGAATTTATCCATGCTTACAATGCCAGGACCCTTTCAATGGCAGCCACGTAGAACTCCTTAGGCATGGTACCGACAATAGATGCGCGTTTCTCTCCATTCTTAAACAGCAAAACCACTGGCACAGCCTTGATATCATAGTCCTCGGCAACTTGCATGTCATTGTCCGCACGAAGCACAAAGCATTTCAGTCTCCCAGAATACTCTGATGCGATCTCATCAATCACCCGATGGACCATCCTGCATGGCCCACACCAACTAGCGTGAAATTGAACAAGTACAGGGATTTCGCTGCTCAAAATCAATTTGTCCCACGACTTTGCAGTCACCACTGCAACTGAAAAAATTACAAATGTAATGCTGTTAAAAAAAAATAGGCAATCCAGTGTTTAAGAAAAACTGTGTTAATAAAATCTCAACATAGAAGCTCAATATAGCCACCAACGAACCAGTCAAAGATTCAAAATTCACAATACCTCAAAACTCCACACTATTTTACAAACTTAGTTGAAAAGACTGATGAAAGACATCTAACACATTTTCCCCTTAGGTTCTACTCTTAAACTTATCTCTTTCCAAAGATGTTACTCAGAAACTTCAAAAAAAATGCTGAACATCCATTTGTCTCCTAAGTAGATGTAGTGATGCATCTGATAAGAGGGTAAAAAGGGTTGTGGTCTAACAATTCAACAATGCCCTCTTGTTTTCACATCCTACTTTCTAAAATCAAAGTTCCTAGCAACCCAATAAAGAACATTCATGAACACAGTAGTTTAACATGGACACTTGCCATTACCCCTTCCATTTGGATGACACCATAGATTGGATTTACAGTGTAACAAACTAGCAACAATTACATTCAAAGAAGATTAGTAGCAAAATTAGAACAGAGTTAATAATATAACAAAACCTAGGGGAAAAAAAAAACTCCTCCATTGCATTTAAGATTTTTTTTTTTATTAGTAGACAGTCAGAATCGAGTTTAAATTTTACAAGTAGGATAACGAAGGAGACAATAGGGAACTTTTACATTAGAAATTAGAATATATAAATGTTCAAAGGAACATACCCATTGACATGTAGAAACAAAAAGCAAAGGTGAGGTGGTGATTTTAGGGTCTTCGGTGGTGTCGGTGGTGGTTTTGGAGTCGGACTCATAACCAACTGGGGGCGTTTGTGCAGAAGACTCACTTTGTGACCATAGTAGTTTATAATCTCACTACATGACCTTTCGATTGTGCTGGTTGTGATAAGCAGTCAAGATATTGAGATTAATGATGATGATAGTTAAAGTAAATGTTGCAGAAAAGAGTAATATACATTTCCAGATATTATATTCCTCATTCAAGCATCTTATATTTAGGAAAGATAAAATTAGGAACGAATATATCCGGGAAAAATTAGAGGTAATACTAATAGGAGATAAGTTAAGGGAGAATCGACTTACAAGGTTCGAACATATTTATAGAAGACCTACTATGAAATCAATGAGAAAGAGAGAGATAGAGGAACACCAAAATTACCTTTAAATGAAATAGTAGAGAAATATATGATAACTTGTGATTTAACTAAAAACAGTATCCTTCATGGAGCTCAAAAGCAGAACATAATTCTTGTAGCTGAACCCAAAAACTGAGGGACAAGGCTTAGTTGAGTGGAGTATATTCAAGCATCTTATATTGAAGTTCAATTGCAACACTGCATCTCCATTTGCATTTGCAGCCATTTCCAACTCTCTTTCTATCTCTCTCTCTCTCACACACACACACAAACACATATATACAGAGATTTTGTATGAATCAATGTCTGTGGACAATTTTTCCTTCCGTATGTTACCCTAAACTTTATATATACGTACAATCATCCGAGCATTCGTTAATGGTTATCACCAAAAACAAGAAAAGTTATTGATGAGCCCGAAATCAATTGGGTCAGGCACAATAAAAATAAACCAAGAAGGCCCAAATAATCAGTATCCAAAAAGGAGCTCAAGTCACTAGGGTCCAAACGGAGCTGGGTTAACCCCACAAGAGGGATTCCAAAAGAAGATCAAGAAGCCAACGCCCAAAGAGGGATCAAGGGGCGCCGCCCAAGGCCTGGCCTGTTCCTCCTTCGCCTCTTGATTTCGTCACTCCAACCTAAGCCCAGCCCACTCTAACTCAAGTCCAAGTTCAGAATCAAATCCAACCCAGCTCAAATCCTCCTCCGACTGAATAGGAGCACAAGAGAGAGAATATTGGGATATGCACGGAGATCTAATCTTGCCTTAATTGTACTTACCAAAATGGTAGAAGTCCTCTCTCTCACGTCACCGTCTTACTAAACCTATATAATGTAAACTCTCTCCACAAGGAGAGACATCTTGGCATCACCTTGAGACCTCACACATCTACACCCATTATCTCTCTCTTATCCAAGCTTTGTAATACACCTGGGGTTACTCTCCAGGTTACATTATTCATCAATAAAACAGCTCTGGCCACCGTTGCCGTTCCCGAGAGTGGAGTAGGTCACCCAGACCGAACCACTATAAATCTGAGTGTTTGCCCTAATTTACTGCTTTATCATTAATTGTGTGTGTACTGCCTATTAATTGCACCCAACATATTCTTGACTGTTGATTTTGTGGAATACCGATTTGTGCATCATCAATTTTGCACCATTTGTGGGAACGACTAGTTTTCTACTCTCTCTCAATCCATGACAGTCACTACCAGATCAATAAGTCAACAACTGGGAGACAACAACCCAACCCACTAAGAGGAGACTCCACCTCCCCTCATGCCCTCGGAACCATCTGCTACTACGACTGGACAACAATAACAACTTCTACAAACTATGCAACTGCTTGTAAAACAGAACCAACAGATCATTCAGTTGATGCTCGCCTAGGGAGTCACCACCCCTCACACTGTAGGAGGAGCCCCACTCCCTCCAACAGGAGAGGAGCAATAGCCCATCCCTTCTGAACGCCAAACAACCCCTCACCATGGGACCCCTCGCCATAATGCCCCAAGGCCACACCAGGGGGCCCCTTGCCTAGTAGTCCCTTCTCAGCGCGCAGGGAGCTCTCGTGCACCCCTTCCGCACATACTTGCGCCAGAGAACGAGAACGGAGAAAGCCAATATGAAGACCATAAAAGCCAGTACCACCACCCAATTAAGGATGTCCCCAATCAGTGGGAGGAAAAGATTAGAGAGGTGCAAAACTAACTTGGTGATGCCCTCAACGCCATCAAGGCATAGGCGCCCGAGACCGTGGATTACCTAGTAAGACGTACCGATACACCTTTTGCTGCTGATATCGTCAATTATCTTTTACCCTCGAAATTTAAGATGCCCACCATCTAGATGTTCGACGGTACCAAAGACCCCCTCGACCATCTTGACACATAAATCTCTTATGCAACTCCACAACATGCCCGAGGAAATTATGTGTAGGGCCTTCCCTACTACCTTGAAGGGGTCTGCCCGCCAATGGTTCTCCAAGATCAGGTCCTCCTCTATCCACTCTTTCGCAGAATTGAGTAGGTCCTTCGTCTCTCATTTCATCGGTGGACATCGACATTAGAAATCAGTGACCCACCTATTCACCATTAAGCAGGACATGGATGAAAGCCTCAGAAACTACCTTGCCCGCTTCAATGAGGAGGTTCTCCAGATTGAGGAGGCAGATGATAAGGTAGCCTTGGCCGCCTTTATCACTGGTTTTTGCTCTTCTAGTTTCATGTTTTTCGTCCTCAAGAAGCTGCCCTCCGGCATGCCCAAGTTGTTATCTAGGGTACGGAAGTACATGAATACTGAAGACGTTACCAAGGCCCGCGGGGGTGAATCCTCCCGAGGAGAGAAAAAAAGGAATGACACCCGAGAAGACAGGAGGGAGATCGAGAACAAGAGGAAGAAAGCTGAGAGAGTCTCTGTGAAAGACCGTCTTGGTCCGCTACCCCCGAGAGACCGATAGCCTTTCACGCCCCTCAATGCCTCTATGGAGCACATCCTATTCTAGATACGGGATGACCCCACGATCCGTTGGCCCAAAAAGATGAAGTCTGACCCCAAGCGCTGAAATCACAGCGAATACTGTCGCTTCCACCGCGACCGCGGTCATGACACAGACGATTGTTTCTAGTTAAAAAGGCAGATCGAAGAACTTATTTAGCATGGCCAGTTGAGACAATATGTCGCCAGTCAAGGGCATGATCCACCACATGAGGAACAAGAGCGCCAGCAGCCCCTTGGGGAGATTCAGACTATTGCTGGAGGGTTAGGAAGAGGAGGAGACTCTAACTCCGCTAGGAAGGCACACGCTCGGAGAGCCAGACAGGCAGAGTCACATGACTCTCGCCCAAAGAAGACACCCCAATATGGGGAGGAGGAGGTCATCACCTTCTCTAGAAAAAGACCTTGAGAGGATCCAGGTCCCACATAATGACCCTCTGGTCTTGACCTTGATGGTGGCCAACTACCAAGTCAAGAGGATCCGGGTCGACAGCGATAGCTCAGTCGACATTTTGTTCGCAACAGCCTACGACAGCCTTCACCTAGGCAGAGAAAGACTATAGCCTGTCAGGACTCCACTGGTTAGCTTCTCAGGAGAGAGAGTCGATCCTTTGGGATCTATTACCCTGTCTGTCGCAGTAGGAACTGCACCGAGGAACTCTATTGTCATGGTAAATTTTCTTGTACTTGACTGCCCTGCACCCACCTGCCAGGAGACTGGACCAGACGCAGCCCCAGGAGGATATGACAACTCAGAGGAGGAACCCCGGCCTGAACAGCCCGAGGGGCTGCCCATTGTGCTTGGGGCATTGCCCTCCACACTTGTATCACACCTCTCTTTCCAAGCGTCGCCCTACAACACACTGCCTCCTTCCTCTTCGATACTAGCATGTGGAGCTGGCTCCTTCTCCATCACCCACTGTACTATAATGGAGACTCTACGTGGATGGGTCCTCCACTAACGAGAGTGACGGAGCCAGACTAGTATTAATCAGCCCTCATGGCACTCCACTAAAGTATGTCGTCTCCCTCCACTTTGTCACATCAAACAATCAAGCTGAGTATGAGGCACTCATATCAGGCTTGAAACTGGCTTTGGAGATGGAGGCCCTCAACCTTACAGCCTACAAAGACTCTCAGCTCATAGTCAACCAGGTGAGGGGGGACTTCAAAGCAAAGGAGGAAAGGATGCAAGAGTACCTCTCGGTGGTCCAAGACCTACTCACAAAGTTTGCATGCTTCCAGATCCACCGTGTGCCTCAAGAGTAGAACGCCATGGCAGATACCCTCGCCAAGTTTGTCTCTGCCAACATTCTCCTGGGCCCGACGCTGACAGGTCACCAGTTTGAGCCTAGCACCTCCAGGACAGAGGACGGAGTCTATTGTGCATCCTCGAAGTCCAACTGGATGACTCCCATTCGAGCTTACCTAGAGGAGGGCACTCTCCCAAACAACCCAGTAGAAGCCAAAAAATTGAGGATAAGATCATCCAAGTACGTCATTCTGCAAAACACTCTCTACAAGAAAAGTCATTCTCTCTCACTACTTCGTTGTCTCACCCCCGAAGAAGCCAACTACGCATGAGGGAGATCCATGAAGGGATATGTGAGAATCACTCAGAAAGGCATGCATTGGCCCATAAAGCAATCAGACAAGGATATTATTGGCCTACCATGATCCGAGACACCCAAAAACTTCATCAGGAGATGTAACAAGTGTCAGCGCTTTGCCACTGTGCCCAGACAACTGCCCGAAGAGCTCACCACTGTTCAGAGTCCATGGCCTTTCTCCATGTAGGGGATCAACATCTTGGGTGCCCTCCCTGTGAGTCAAGGCTAATGCAAGTTTGTAGTCATAGCCATCGACTACTTCACTAAGTGGGCAGAAGTTGAAGCCTTAGCCAGAATCACGGACCAAAAGATAAAAGACTTTATATGGAAGAGTCTAGTCTGCCGCTTCGTTAATACCTCACGTCATTGTGAGTGACAATGCTTAACAGTTTGACAACAAACTCCTCAATAGTTTCTGTGCAGACCTCCAGATCAAGCAGCCCCACTCCAGCCTAGCCCATCCAAAGGCA